TTTTTATCCATCCTGTGCTACTCATCATACTTTTAATGATGGCTGCTTTCAGGCAGGATAAATTTGCTCGGGTGACTTTACAAGCAGTGAAGTCATTTAAGTGGGGTGATAATTAGTTCATGGCAAACATACACGATATCTCAAACTTCCTGCAAGTTTCTTGGAACTTTTGTCTATCACTTTATGGGTTTTCTTTCATTCTTGGATTTTTGTTTATTTATACAGTAAGAGGTTTATGGCTATACTGCTAACTGTGACAACTAGTGTGACCCAAAACTAAGAAGCAACCTGTACTGCTATTTATATGTTAGTTTAACTAATGTGTATTTACAATACAAAGTCAATTTCCTTTTCTGGGAAGTCTAGACTGTCTTATTGTTTGATCACATTGGTGAAGACACAAAGACTGTTTGTTTAAGGTTTACAAGGTAAGAACAATCTTTTCTAACACCAACAGGGCTGCAATTCTTTAACACACTATATGCAATTAAACACCCACCAGCTGTTCTAAACAACAGACACAACTTTGACCGCCACTAAACCCTGGTCATGTTTGTCTAGACAAACAGAAGTGCCCAGAAAGAAACAATTCACTGCATCTGAGTTCCATATGTGGAACCTAGTATTACTACAGCAAAATATTAGGACTTTGCGACTCATTGGAATTTCCATGATAATCAGCACACATATTTATGTCATTCTATATACATTACACTAGTTTGGGGTCAGTTTTTTTTTTTTTTGTTTTTTTTTTTTTAGAAAATTATTCTGTTCATCACGGCGGCATTTATTAAATGTAATTAAAAAAAAAACGTTATGATAATTTTAAATAACTGCTTTCTTATTGTATGTAGTTTCAAATGTAATTATTACTCCAATCATTATTGGTTTAATTACTATTACATTAATAATAATATTAATAATAGTAATAATTAGGGATGTCCAGATCCGTTCACGTGATCAGAAATTGGGCCCGATCATGTGGTTTCAGACTTGATCGGAATCGGACATTACCTCCTGATCAGGACTCAACTATATATGTATACATCTCATTATTTTTAACACATCTATAGTTATTCAGAGGCACAAAGTTAGACCTCTTTCTTGACTTGACATCACTTGTTGACATCACTTTGTTCTAAAAAAGCTATGGGTTAAATGCCAGCAAAGTAGAACACGACAGCAGCTTGAAGCGGAAAGTGCGAGTATGTCTGCGGCCAGGAGGTATCATACAGTTGATGACGACATTAATGTCATCGCCAACATTGTGAGATATGTACTTGGCACTGCAAGAGGTGGAAAGGAAAAGGCTACATTTAACACAAAAATCCTGATAACACACCTCAAAAGCAAACGTAGAACCTTGATTTGAAATGCCGTCTCGCCACTATTTCACAGAGAAAGCTCTGCCAGACCTTTATAAGAAGATTTCTGACAAACTACTTGTACGCCATGTTTCGTTCATCACAGACATAAGGAGCTCATCCGTAATTTCCATCGTTTCTACTAAGCCTTTATGTAAAATGGAAGTATCGGATTGGGTTTGAATATTGGTATATACTCAAAATCAAATGACTCGGACTCGAGGGCAAAAAAAACCTGATTGGGAAATCCCTAATAATAATAATAATAATAATAATTAGAGTGATTTCTGAAGGATCATGTGACTGAGGACTGGAGTAATTAAGCTAAAAAGTCATCATTAAAATCACGGGAATAAATTATTTAATTAGATTATGAACTACTTTTGAACAGTTATTTTATAGTGCAATAACATTTCACAATTTTACAATTACTGTGTTTTTGATTAAATAAATGCAGCTTTGATGAGCAGGGAAAAAAAATATTTTAAAACATAAAAAAAACATTTAAAAAATCCTACTGAAGCCAAATTTTTGACCAGTATTTTGTATATATATATATATATATATATATATATATATATATACAAACACAACTCAATACAAATATACAAATCAATATACAAATTTTGTATACAAGTTGTATTTTTTACAACTGAGGTGTTTTCATAGAGCATATGCTCAACTTTTCAAAAAAAATTTTCTTAAATTAAGTGCGTGTACTAAATGTTGTGCTTGTTCACACAAGTTGTCTCCATTTGCTGAATCTCTGGTCTATCATCCTGGTGGGAACTTAATGAAAGGACAAAGGTCAAGCAATTCTAATTAGAGACCAGCCTTACAAAGAGTGTAAGGTCATTTTTCAGAATCAAACCTTCTAGCATTCCAGCAGTTTCAGTAAACAAGTCTTTGCAGATTGCAACGGTCCACAAATCACAGCAAGGACTCAAAAAATAAAATTGTTGTTGTTACATTACAGATGTGAAGAGAAGTGTGAATCTGTTTTAATGAGGCTTAAATCGCAATATGGCTTAGCAAGATTATTAGCAAGATTACCAAACAGCAAAAGCTGCAATTTACTTTAATGAATATGTTAGGAGATTTACTTTAAAAAAAGCTTTGATTCAGTGCTTTTTAATTGCCCCTGAAAGGTTCACATAAAATTTTATTTTTGGATTTGGTTGCTTATTTGCAAAAAAAAAAAAAAAAAAAAAAAAACACTTTCACAAATTTTAAAAGCACATACAAAAGAGTTATTATCAAAAAAAAAAAAAAACAGCAACAACAAAAATTTTGTTTAAGCTTGATAGTTTAATATCTCAATAGAAGAAATTAAGACAGTCACAAACATTAATTAAATTGTACTATTACAATCTAAAATAAATGTATTATTATGTTGCTGGTGTTTTTTAATCCCAAAAAAATCAAAAGTTTGAAATTAAAGATGTTTTAGTTTAGGATATTTATGTATGTGACAAACAAGCAATATGAAACAGCAATAAGTGCAGTTGAGCATCCACGCACACAGTTTCAATCACGTCTTTGACAGACGAGGCTCTGAAAAGACAGTATTCAAAATCAGGACATCCAATAGCCCACTCTCTCTCTCTCACTTTCTGCTTTCTATTCCCAGTGAGTATTCTAGAGCAGCAGCTTCAGAGGTCTAGCTGTGATCAGGCCACTGTTGAAAGATAGATACCTTCACCTGCCCGTATCTGCCCTGGGCATCACAGCCACATTCCTCAGAGTGGGATTGACAGGACACCCCTCCACCAACAGAATCGTTTACCTCTTAGTAGAAGCAAAGACTTCACAAAGCAGCTTTGGCAGAATGCATTGAGATGGCTGGAAGCACAAACTCATGAAGCATTAAAACCATTACTGCCAGTAATTTAAATGTCCTATTATTCAATTATGTGTAAATGTCAAGCTCCCAAATGAGAATAGTAGCCAAATCTAAGTAAAATGTTTGTTTGTAAAATTATTTACATTATTTTTATTTATGTTATGGGTTATATAAAGAAAGTCAATTTCAAGAGAAAGAAAAAATTACAAAAACAAATTCCTTGTGTTGCAGAGTTCATGACCTGAGAAATATGCTTTTGACTAATGCTCACTGTTGGTTGATAGTGTTGGCCTGTCAGGATAGAATCTTTTTAGAAGAGATAAATTGAGTACTGACTCTCTAAGCACTATCTATTGTGTAAGAGGTGAAACTAAACTACAAATTCATCATTTTAGGGCACACAAATCACAATTTTCACACCTGGAATCAGACATGGGGCTATAATGAAGGCACTTGAAGTGTCACCTCAGCCTCAGGTTTGAACTAATGATTTACTTTTACTTCTTAAATGGATTCCAACGGAGAGAAAAGCTGTAAAAAATAAGACACTTTAAATTACAAACGATTCAGGCAAGGCATCACGGTGGTGCAGTGGGTAGCATGATCGCCTCACAGAAAGAAGGTCGCTGGTTCCAGCCTCGACTGGGTCATTTGGTGTGCTCACGTGCTTTTTCTCTGGGTGCTTGGAAATTGTTTGTAGTGTATGTGTGTGAATGAGACTGCATTGATGTTTTCCAGTGATGGGTTGCACCTGGAAGGGCATCCGCAGCATAAAACATATGCTGGATAAGATGGCGGCTCATTCTGCTGTGTGTATTAGATTAATAAAGGAATTAAGCCAAAAAGAAAATGAATGAATGAATGAATGAATGATACAGACATAGCTCAATACATGAATGGAAAGAAATTGAACAAATTGCAACTTCACTCTTCCAGCTACATTTAAGGTTTTACGTTGTATCTTAGGAGTAAATCTGATGTAGTCTAGGACAAAAAAAGCATTGAGATGGAAATTTAAACTGGCTCTACAAACCTGCCCTAACAGCTCTGATATAATTAGAGGTTCCACTTCATTTTAACAGATTGGACCTCTTAGATTAGTCCACTGGTTTTGTCTTGATAAATCCTCAATGGAATGTCCAGTCTTCCAGCTACTTGCTTTCCTTTTCTATATAAAGGGGGGTTGTGAGATTCTTATCTCAGGCTCACTTTACTTTGTACCTCAGCTCAGCTTATTCAGATGTGTCTATGGTCCACTTGTGTCTTTGTTTAAGGCAGTAAAGGAAGTATTTGGGTTAAATTGGATAACAAGCAGCTTTTCTATTGATAAATGAGTGGTTATTTTCAATTTTCAATACAGATATCATTGCTCGGCAAAGTGTGTAAAAGCCTAGAAGATTTAAATAAAAGCAAAAGCTTATCAGATTCATGAGCATTCAAATAAATGTCTCCCACATTTGCATAAAATATTATAAAATAAAAAACTGTGCATTTATACCAATATATGCATTTATACCACTTTTTCAAAACAAGGCTGATGTGTATCAGTATACCCTGGAGTCTTTGACACAAATAGCATCAATAAATTTAAATGATCTTTTCTTCCGTCAAACAGATGTTTTAGGACAAGGTAAATGCCAAAGGTTAAATTCATGTGAATACGCAACTCTTGTGAAAACAGTAAAGTGTCTTTGAACATTTTGTTTCTTATATAAGCAAGATAATTGTACCATTATTTTAGAGATACAAACTACAAACTGAATGTATATTCCATACAAATCTTTATTTTACAGATCTTTGAACCTGATTGATGGATTTTTGACTCTGCAACATGGAAAACAACTTCTTCATTTTTACCTGTGTGTAAGTCTACTTTTCAGAACAATGTTAGTTGGATATATATATATATATATATATATATATATATATATATATATATATATATATATATATATAGTATAAAATCTGTAACATTATGGACAGTGCCTATTCTGTTTTTGCCTAGACCATACATAGTTTTAATGTTCTGTTTAAGTACACAATACATTGTCTTACACTGCTTACTTTATTGATAAAAAAATATGTATAACTTATGTAAATGAAATGTCTTCAGATTACAATAGTGCTCAGCTTTTTCTCTTGAATGTATAATCTTAAGCTTTCAATGCACATGATTGTAAAATGTAAGTACATATTTGTATTTTACTGTTTGCCTTCACAACCTGTATTATTACTTACATTACATTATTACTTTACATTACATTAGGAATAGTCTCTGTGCAATTCTTTCACACTTCTTTCAAAGCAGATGTTCATTGCTTACTAAGTTTTGGCCAATTTCAAACGATTTTATTAAATTGTACAGTATCTTTGTAAAAATCCCCATGGTCTTTATGAAAACATCCAGTTGGGTGCAATGTGGGTTTAGAATGAATTGCTTGTCAATTGTACTCTCATTATGTCAAGTGCTACAATAAAATTAATTCCAATTATAGATGTTATTTATTTTTTATTATTTGTAATCTAATAGTTTAGTTTATGTATACACGGTAAAAACTTTTCAAAATAAATTTGAGTAGATTGAACATAAAACAATTAGGTTATCTAAAAAACAATAATTGTGTTGTTTCAGCTTATTTTAAATAGTTTGAACAAACAGCAAATGTAATTTTTGGAGTGTATATCATGTTCTGGCTGCTCATTTTACTTTTTTACTTTTTTACTTTTTTGTTTGTTATTGCATCTATACAGTTCAAAAGTAACTGCTATCACTGTTGGTTAGTGTAAATTTCTGAAGAAACATTGTGTAATACAACAGACTAAATTGTATCAGATGCATGTTCTATTTGTAATAAAATAAGTTTACTGTATCAGATCTGTATTGTATATTGTTCCGAACAACCAAGCAAATGCTAAAATAGATGGTTACATGACCGACCAGCAATAAAATTTTTATTTCTGGTTGGAAGTAGTTAAGACTGCATTTACGAGATGCCTTCACCCACAAACGTTAATAGAGAACATCAGCTGTTCATCATTTATCTGCCTGTTAAAGCCATTTAATCAATTCTGTAGCCCCTTACAGAACGTTTTTGAAGCACAAGCAGAACATTTAGGGACATGCCTTAAATAAGCCTGCAACACAATTACTGACATATTTCCAGTGATGCACAAAAGGTTTTTTGGCTCAGTTCTCAAAAAGAGTACCTGATGACAAAGCTGTTCGCAATATTTTAAAACAAAGGTTTTATACAGACGTGAAAAAAATTGTTGGTAACCTTCCAGTGAAGAAACAAAAACTACAGTGGTCACTGAAATAACGAAAATGGAAGTAAGAATCAAAAAAGAAATATCCAGAATTGCTGATAATAAACAATGAAAATCAGATGTTGTTTTAAAATTGTGGTTAAAAAGAAGCGTTAAAAAAGCCAAATTAATTAATGAAAATTACTTGGACAAAACTGAAGGCTATCAACAATAATGTTCTCCATGTCTGTACTCTGTCTCCATACCATTCATTTAGGTTGTCCCAAAACAAACTGTATAAGTTAACTTAACAAATTTAAGTGGATTGAACATAAAACAATTAGGTTGCCCCCCCCCCCCCCCCTCAAACCCCCCAATATGAATTTAAATAAGCAGCAAACATCTTTTATTTGAGTATATGTACATATATGTCAGATTTACATATCTTTGAAAAATAAACATGAAGTTGTATTTTAAAGTATACGAATAAAATTACAAAACTAGCCATATGATTTTGTTAGCTCACATTGCTTGTTTTGTGGTAAACAATTCATCTGTGCATATCATTAAGAAAAAAAAAAACTTAACCACGCTACTCCAACTGTCAGTTTTGACAACTAACAGAAATTGTAATGAGGAGTTGTTTGTTAGGTTGTAATAACTCTCCCGAAACATCTTTCTCAATCTTTCTCAAAAAATTTACTACTTTACTAGATTCAATCAGCTCGCAGTTGAAAAAAACAAGCCAAAAAAAACAAAAAACGCTGCAGCTTCTGGTTCATGCTGACTTTAAATACTGTATGTGGTTTGCCAGAGGTGGGTAGTAACGAGTTACATTTACTACGTTACATTTACTTGAGTAAAATTATTGGGTAACGAGTACTTTTTGAGTAGATTTAAATGTGTACTTTTACTCAAGTAAATTATTAGAGATAAATCAGTACTCTTACTTCGCTACATTTCGTGGCATTCCTCCGTTACTGTCAAATGATAATAAAAATGATCCGTATGTTTTGTTTGCAAATATCGCGAAGTGCCGCATCGGAGAGGTTGTGTCGTGTGAGGTTGCTATAGAGACGCGTGTTCCGCTTTCAGTTAGGGCACGCGTAGCCGCGCGCCTATGTTGAATGATAGTTGACGAGGGAGACTTGCGAATTATACTGCGGTCACGCCACGGCCATCTGCGGTTCTGAGAAGGACGATCATGCTGTCTGTGTAGTGAGGTTATCAGACCAGGTCACCCTGGCCTCAAGTTCAGTCTGTTTTCACTCCTTGCCGACAACAGTAGTCTGATAATGTGATGCACGCAAGCTGTACATTGAACTGACATCACAGCATAAACATAAAGTCCAGCTACAAACCTGAAAAAAGTAAGTGTCAAAATTATCCCATTTTGAACCTTATTCATGGTAACTATTCAGGCCCATAGCAAGGGGAGTTCGGGTGGTTGGAAAAACCCACCCCTCAATGACAAAGCTAGTCTAGAATTTGTCCCATACATGAGCTCATTTGTCTTATTTTGATGACTGGGTCATCATAAATACTACAATTAATCCTTATACTATACTAATAAATCCTAATACTACATAAATACCTAAAATGAATGAAAAAGGCTTCAAGATCAAGCTAAATCCTATATTAAAATTAATTTGAAAACAAATATGGCTATTTTTGTTATCAATAAATTTTCAATCAAATCAAATGTACTTTTTGTACAAGAGAGGCTAGAAAAATTATGAAGCTCTTTTATTATTATTATGTTTTATTTTTTGTTATTCAAATAGCCAAATCCTGACTGAGGACAGTTAAATGTTCTGGCCAGTTTGTAGGCTACAATAGGCTACAGTTTTTAATTGAAAACTTCAACAGATACCTATTTTTTCTAATGATTTATGATCTAATGAATTTGTATTTTAAAAATAAGTATTTATTCATTTTTCTTTATTCTAAATCTTTAGGAAATATTTTGGTACATTAAATGTGTCATTATGATGACGACCTAACAGGCTAATCCAGCTAAAATAGTGCTTAAAATGTCACTAAAACACAGTATTTAAATCTCAAACATTGTAAATGAGGTCAATAACTGCAAAAAGGTCCACATTTTGAGAGAAAGACCCCTTATAACAGGCTGGCTTCAGGCTGGAGCAGCTGGAGGAAAACCCACGCGAACACAGGGAGAACATGCAAACTCCACACAGAAACGACAACTGACCCAGTCGAGGCTCGAACCAGCGACCTTCTTGCTGTGAGGTGACAGCACTACCTTCTGCGTCGCAGTGTACATATAATCAAAAGTAACTAATTACTTGAGTAATTTTTTTCATAAGGTACTTTTTTACTCTTACTCGAGTAACTTTTAAGATTGTTACTTTTACTATTACTAGAGTAAAATTTCCGCAAATACTTGTACTCTTACTTGAGTACAGATTTTAGATACTCTAACCAACTCTGTGATTTGCATATAATGACATATCTCAGCCATCTATAAGTGGGATCACATGATCAATTAATAGCAATTTAATAGCAATTTATCCTTTTTCATATTCAACAAAGTGCAAATGCTTAGAAGCAAGCTCGCATTGACACTGGTGTCACACTGGTGTCACTTTTTGAGCCATGTTTATACAAAAAAAAACAATTTTAATTACTCATCTAACAATTGAATTTTTCTTTTAAAGTTTCTTTGTTTATTTTAGTTCTTTGCTATGTCCTAAACTTTTTTTATTGCCTCTTTTTAATTACAGTAACATTGCCTTTCTGGCATCTGTTGCAAGCTTCCAGGTGCACACTCAAAAACCTCAAGCCATTTGTGTTGTGTGCTAAAAGAAAGGAATTAGTTGTCAGAACAAAAAGCAAACACCTGTACATCAGAAGTCCCTGAACTGACATGTTTATAAAAACAAAAAGAAGAAGAATGTGAGGACTATGTTGAGAATAATAATACCTGGTATCTCAGAGAGACCATAATTCCAACTAATAGGGCAATTCATATCAAGCATTATAACTGTAACTAGCTAGCTTTAAAATTTGTTTAAAATGAAATGAATCAAACCATAATTTCAATGCAAAAGGCACAGATGAACAAAATTGTTGGAATATTTTTTTTAAGTCTTCTTTTATAAAATATTCAAATAGACCAGAATCCAACCGGCTTTGAAAGAGCACGAGTAAATAAACATAAAGTTAAATTTTAATGCACTCTATGCTTGTCACAACAGCGCTCTGGCTATATACATTTCTAGCTATTGTTCTTGGTTAAAATGTACATTTATTCATCAAAGTCCTGAGTGGAAAAAAGAAACACACACACAAACACACACACACACACAAACACCAATAGAAAGAGTTGCATTAAAAATAAATAGTATTTTTACATGGTTATGTTGTGATTTTATTTTATTTTATTTTGATTTTACAAATGTAAATACATTTGATATTGAAAAATGGATAATGTTCTTTATTCCTAAACAGAATGGATAAATATATTCTAAGCAAAAAATACATGACCCAACAAAGAGTGTCAAGTCCACTGCACACCTATGTAACTCTGTACAGTTCCTGTGGTCAGCTGATGGGCATAGGTTTGAAAAGGGAGGAAAGGTATCGCAGGAATGCTGACGTGACCACAGCGCAAGAGGAGATGTGCCACTGGGCAAGCCAAGCAGAACACCAGC